GCCAAGTGCTCGGGGCTGGCCTGGCCCCGGGCACGTGGCGCATGCGCGGTGCTGGAGCCGACCCCGGGCACATGGCGCACAGTGAGCGCCGGCCCCGGGAGCGCTGCGGATTGGACGCCCGCGCTCTGGGCATGTGGTGCTTGGAGGGGGCACTGGCCCCGGGCACGTGGCTATGGGGGGGCCCCGGCCCCGGGTGCGTGGCTATGGGGGGCCCCGCCCCCGGGCATGCGGCTATGGGGGGGGCGCCCCCGGGCGCGCAAGTGTCCCCACCCCCTGGCGCCCGGCGGGCGAACGGCCACGCCCCCTGGCTCCCGACAACCTGAAAAGGTTGGGGACCACTGCCCTAGAATGTGAAGACAATGAGGGGAAAGTGTGTGCATGGACATGCTCCTGCTGCTCCCTGCAGAAGGGCATCATGGTCTGTTCATGGCAAACTCAGAGTAGTTAGATTAAAAAATCAAATTCTCTTGCTGGAAGGCTGCCACATCATGTGGCTTTATTTCTTGCCCGTCAGACCCTCGATGCACAGGAGCCCAAACTGGAGAGAGATAGAACAGGCTGCCCCCTAAGCAACAGAGACACCCAACTCCCCCACATGCTGAAGGGTTGCTCTGCAGACTGTGTGCACCCATCCAGCTGTCACATTGCCCTGCAGAGCTGGCAATGGACAGATTTCAAATATACCTCAGCTAAGCCCTGCCCTCTGCTGGGCACACACATGCCCCAGCCCAGCTCTACCCATTACAGATGCTCTAGTGACATTGCCCCAGGGGGCATCTTCTGGGTACAATGAGCCCAGGAGCTCATGGGTGGTCCTGTGGGACAGTCCCAGGGAAAGGTCATGCTCAGCCCCTGCATCCGCTCCTGATAAATGGCATTGAATCGCCGGCTCTGCCCCTCTGAGAGATGGTTCCTCCAGTCGCCACAGATCCCTGCAAACCGCAGGGGACATGACTTGGGGTGCTCCTCATTCCCAACCCACAGCCCCCACTGCCCAACCCTGACCCTAGTGCCCCTCACTCCCGACCTGCAGCCCCTGCTTCCTAGCCCTGAGCCTGGTGCCTCTCACTCCCAACCCGCAGGCCCTGCTGTCCCAGTCCTGCCCACCCAAGCTTTGCTCATGCCCCACACTCCTGACCTGCAACGCCCCTGCATTCCTGGCCTTGCTCCTCCACAACTCTGTTGGGGCATCACATCCCCAACTCTCAGCTCTGGACTCACCTTTTCTCAACAGTGCCCCCTGCTGGTGGTCCAAGAGCTGGTCAGACATCTGTGAGTAGTTGGACATCTTGTTCACCTTCATGCTCTGGAAGGAGGCGTTCTCCACTACCGAAGCCACTTGCTCCTCACTCAGCTCCTTCCCCAGGAAGTGGCAGATTCTCCGCACGCTGCCCTGTGGGTCCTGGCAGAGACACCAGCTACCATGAAGAGGGTGAGGCTAAGGGGGACAGACTCCTTCCAGGGCAAGGTCCCTGGCCATGTGTGATGTAGTCGTGATTGTATTCACTCTGTTTGCTTTGTTGTGTTGTATGTGATTCTGTTGTAACTATGCTGTTCTGTAGTAACTCTGGGTATGCATGCATGCTTCTGTTTCCCTGGGCACTGCAACACTATCTGGATGAGGAGGAGAAGGCTGGGCATGACTCACTGAGGACCAGGTGACAACAGAACACCGTGGGCCCAGGAATCTGAACAAAGGAGGGGACTGGGGGTCTGGGGGACTGAGACCAGTTGCTGGGTTTGTGATTTAGTTTTTTGGCTGGCTTAGGGAAAGGGGAATCTAGCTGGATCCAGAAAATGGATTGTACTGAATGCTCCTGGTTCCTATAACAAGTAGTCTGTGCTACACTGTGTTCCTGTGAACCAATAAACCTTCTGTTCTATCTGCTGGCTGATAGTCACATCTGTCTGCGGATGGGGATGCAGGGCCCAGTGATGACCAATGTTCCCAACCTGCACAGCAGCCCAGCTTCAAAGATGATTAATCAGCCCCACCCAGTCAGAGGCTCAGGGCTCCATGCAGGGAGCTGACTGACTGGGTGGGGCTGATTAATCACCTGTGAGCTGTACTGTCCCCCAGCTTAGAGGAACCACTGCAGGTGATTACCCCTCACTCCATGGCTATATCTACATTGGCAAGATTTAGCACAAAAGCAGTTGCTTTTGCGCAAAATCTTGCCGCCTGTCTACACTGGCTGCGAGTATTTGCACAAGAATACTGACGTTCTACTGTATGAAATCAGTGCTTCTTGCGCAAATACTCTGACGCTTCCACTCAGGGATAAGTCCTCTTGCATAAGTGTTCTTGTGCAAGAGGCCAGTGTAGACAGGTAACATCAATTTCTTGCGCAAGAAAGCCCAATGGCTAAAATGGCCATCAGAGCTTTCTTGTGCAAGAGAGCGTCTACACTGGCACGGATGCTTTTGCGCAAAAGCAAATTTTTTGCACAAAGGCACATACCAGTATAGATGCTCTCTTACTCAAATACTCTTGCATTTAGAGCATTTGCACTAAATCTTGCCAGTCTAGACGTAGCCCATGACACCATGACTCATGTTGACTGTCTGAAATCAGACCATGTGACCGGTGCTGGCTGGCTGGAGCAGAGGGGTGCAAAGGCTAGGAGAACATGGATGCCGAGGCCTGGGGAGCCAGGGGACTGGACTCAATGACTGCTCGAGGTCCCTTCCAGTTCTAGTGTTCTATGAGTCTATGTCCCAGAATACCACCTGTCTGGAGGACTGGGGCGGGATTATGTGTGGGCATGGCTCAGGGATGGGGGCACATTTGGGGCTGGCCCCAGGAGTGGGGTTATGTGTGGGTGTGTCCTCAGGGGTGGAGTTACATGTGGGTGTGGCCCCAGGTGCTATGTGTGGGCATGTCAGCAGAGAGTGGGGCTATGTGTGGGTGTGGCCTAGAGGTAGCATTTCCCTACCTGCTGCAGCTCCTCATAAGTGATGGAGAAGAAGTTCTTGCTGCCCTTCAGCCCCAGCCAGCCAGTGACATGATCGAACCAGGAGCCGTAGACGACTACGCAGGGAAGAGAGGCACGGTGACATCAGAACAGGCATGAACCAGCCCCTCCACCCAGTGTTTACTTTGGAATTAAAGAGGTGTCAGGCCCCAAGTAATGTTTTACATTCAGAACTGTGGCTGGAAGCCCAGAGGCATTAGGGGTCGGCCCTGGCAATCCCTGGCAAAAATTAAGCACTGCTGCCACCCCCATCCTTCTGGGGAGAGCAGGGGTCTGGAACCAGAGTGCCTCAGTTCTCTCCATCTCTGAAAGTGGAGTGGGGGTTAGTGGCTAGGGGCTGTTATTTGCAGACCCCTAGTTGCTGTGTTGGGCCCAGATCAAAGGGCAGTTCAGAGCTGGCTGGGGATGCACTAACTTGATCACATTTGTGACTTGCTGGGAGCCCAGGTGTCGGGCAGGGGAGGCCTGTCTGTGTCTCCCTCACTGCAGCAAGCCCAGGACCCTGGGATGCTGCTTACTGTTCCCACTCAGAAAATCCTCCAGGAAGGAGTCCAGGGATTCCGGGGTCTTAAAGATGCGCAGAACCTTGGAGAAGTGGTAGAGTGAGACCAGCACGTCCTTGGGGCAGCGCAGGGTGTAGATAATCTGCAGGGAGGAGATGGGGGGTCAGGCCAGACCAGGGGAGTACTGGGAAGGGGGTCATCACTGGAAGACGGTTAACAGTTGGAGGAGGGGGAATCTGGTAATTAGCCACTGCCCCACCACCAGCAGGCAGCTCTTTGCCCACAAGGCCAGTTGTATGCCCAGATATAACTCACACCATGAAGCTCTGGATTCACCCCCAGATGCTCAGCCCTGCCGGTGCCCCTCAATCCCGACCCACTGTCCCTGCTCTCCTGACTCTTACCTTGGCCTTGGAGCACTTCAGGGACTTGGGAAAGAGCTGGACAGGGAGGTGGGAACAGAGCAGCCGGGGTGAGGGGTATTTCAGGGCAGCTTCCAAACCTAGGTAATGCTCCACCCAGGGTGCCCGATCCCAGCTCAGCACACTGCGCACCCAGCCAGGGTCCCCATCACAACGGATCAGACTCAGGATCTCTAGCATCCAGTTAGTGCCTGGGGGTGAAAGGGTTAATGGGGCTGGAACACTCCCTCCACCCACTTGGTCCCCTCCACTCCCAGGGCTGGGGAAAGAACCCACGAATCCTGGTTTCAGCCCCCCTCCTTGCATGCCCTGAGGTGTATTGACAGCATTAAAATCAGCTTTCATTTTGTTTTTCCAGGGGTCTCCTGGCCCTGGGGGCAGCTCTGGGAGAAGCCTGCGATCAGAGTCTCTCTTGAGAAAGCCAGCCTAGCACCATGAGTGTGAGCTGGGCCCTAGAGAGCAGCCTGCTTTCTTTCGCACTGGGCTTGGGGGGGTGGGGTGCCTGGGGTATGATGTTTGACATTGCAGCCTTCCAGCTACCAGCTTTGGTATTTCCAACTAACATCTGTGGAGGGGGAACCCTGGCCCTTCCTCATTAACCCACACCCCCGCAACAGCTCTGCCCCCCTCCACTTTCCCTCCCTGACTTGGG